AAGGCTGAGGCAGGTTACAGGTCAGGGTGACCAGGTCCTGAAGAGTGACCACTGCAGGTCTCACGGTCACTGTAGGCTGAGGTACATCTCCTGGACCAAAACAGAATAACAATCATATTAAAACTCATTGACTCAGCTAAATTATAAGACGAGTTCTTATTACTTCATGTTTCTAAATCACGACCACCAGAAAAAACTTTTACTTTAGAATACAATAAAAACTAGCAGAAATAGAACAAATATTCAGAATATTTTCTGGTGAAAAGACATCTTAGGCCCAGTGTCCTACTACAAAACTTATTAATTAATGCACTGCCATGGGGACCTTTGGCCATAGTAATGTGTAAGGAAACCTTTATGTTGATTTTTCCACTGTGAGTCTTTGTAGAAGAGCTTTGAAGAGCCACAGCTGATCATTTTCTTGTTGTCAGATTTTGTACTGGCCCACAGTGTGGAGTTAGAAATGAAGGGAAAATGTTCAAATACAATCTGATCAACATGAAATCAAAGAATGCAACAAAACCTGATTGATAAAAATTAGTTGCACATCACGGGTCATTACAATCTGAACTCTCGGAACATCCATTTCTTATCTAACTGCTTTCCAATTCAGGGTAGCGGAGGATACAGAGCCTTTCCTAGCATGCAACAGGTGGAAGGCAGAGTATGCCCTAGACAAGACACCAGTCCATCATGGGGCAGACAGACAGAGGAATGTTGCTTGTGTTCTGTCTGGCATGTCACAATAGAGTATTTAACAATGTTCTTTGGCAACATAGCCTTCTTAAGGTCCTACCTTTTACTAGCACGGCCACACTGTCACTATATGCTGAGGGGACCCCAGTCCAATAGTAATAACATGTGAGAAGAACCGTGTTTACAGCCAGAGATTCTCGTCCTCCAAGAAGCTGTTCCCCAGTCACAGAAACTCCACAGTTTGGGAACGGTCCAAATGGTAGGACACCATCTGCTAAAAAATAGCACTCCATTATGAAAGGAGTCCAAGTTCCACAGCTCATCTGGACTTCTTCCCACAAGCTCACAACTCTTGGCGTCACCATCAGTGTGGGTTGATAACCTGAATTGAAAGACAAGCTTATTTCAACCACAGAAGCAACACCAGCAACCTCTCTCCTTTACAAATATTTTATCTTTCCTTTACAAATATTTCTTGACGTCTGCATTTTGCAATTTGTTCCTTTGCGTGATACTGCACTTCTGTGTGAGTTAGTGATAGTTTAGGAAATGAGACACAGACGCTCACGCACACTCACACCAGGGCAAATTTTCATAGAAGACAACAATCCTGCCAGTATGTCTTTGCGCTGTGTGAGGAAACCTACCTGAACTCGAGGGGAACATACAAACTCCACACAAATATAACCCCAGGAAAGGAAACCAGTTCCTAGAGTTTTGAGGCAGCAGTGCTAACCACTGCACTGCTGTGTCACGCTGCAAAAAGGCGTGCACATGGGATTTCATAGAGTGGAAAATATGTATTCATAAAGAATGAGTGGATTACTAAGTGTAAATCATCAACCACTTCCTGTGACATCCTTTACATATTCATGTTATGTAGTTTTACTCATTTGAACCACATCAATTGTTTGGTGCATCTGTGCAGATCTTCAGTTATCAGTTTTAAAAAGGCAACATAATTCAAGAAATAAAGATTCTTCCAATCATCAGATTTCAATTGCCAGATACCAAAAACTAATGGGAGTCCAATTAAAAAGGCAGGTTGTGTGAAATAACTGTCCAGTTTAGTGGGTGCATGGGTAAAACCTCTGACCAGTTCATTTCATATTCTAAAAAGCTGGAGGATCTCTGGTGTGATGCTTATAGTTACAGTAAAATATCATAAGCATACAAACTAATTTCATGGTTTGAAGTATCTGTCATAATAGCCATTATGTTGGACGTCTGCTGAATTCTTTGAAAAAACAAAAGAACACAAGATGCCCTTATACAGTCTAAAAGTCAGGAAATTAAACTGTTTGGGATAACTGAGGCTGAAGGAGTACTATGTAGGATTTTAGTCCAGTTAGTAAATGTTTTACCAAAGCCCAGATGATTAAAGCTGTAAAGAATGGCCTTCTAATCTAGAACTTTATGTGCAAAACTTCATCAAATATTAATCATTTTCATTACTGACTAAAACAAATGGGTTGCAAGCACATACAGTATCTCTAAATTGTCTATACTGTCCCCTTTTCCAGATGCACCCCAAGATTTTCACTTCTGTGAGAGCCAAGGTGAAGCACATCCATCCATTTTGTATCTGCTTCTTCCAAGGGGGAGTCAGAGCCTATCCCAGCAAGCCACAGGTGCAAGGCAAAATACACCCTGGATGGCATGCCAGTACATCACAGGGCACACAAAGACACAAACACAGACACGTACAGTACACAATTACAACCAACCAGCATGTCTTTGGACTGTGGGAGGAAAACGGAGCACATGAGGAAATTCACGTGAACACAGGGCGAACATACAAACTCCACACAGACAGCAGCCCAGTCCCAGAATTGCCCAAAAGGACAGCTTACCTGCTAATGGCACTGGTTGAACAGGGCTTCAGTTATCAGTTAATATCCTTTTAGTTGTTTTTAATTAATCAAACTAATTTATTATCAGGAACAGCAACCAAAATGTTTATTGTTTTTTTGCTCCACCAATATTTATAATCACTGATAGTCAGTGGGTCCACATAAATGCAAATAATAGAAAAAGAAATCATTTCACAGAAGTCAGCTGTGATATTGCTCTATGGTGATATTGAAAGGGACAAAAACAAGTGTATAAGGGTGGAAAATAAAGGTGTCCACTATTTCCCTGGGAGCCTGGAAGCCTTGATTTGTAGCACCAAGCTGGTCAAAATGTATTTACTCACCGGGAGCTACGAATTGTGAGCCCGTTTCACTGATACCTGTCAGATAGAAAGAGAGAACAACCTTTAAAAAATGGGCTCTTAAGAATTTTTAAATACAGTAACTTAATACTAAACCTTTGAGAAATTAGTTTGAAAATCATCAATTAAAAATTTAATAATAACAGTCTAGTATCTAGTAGGATTTATTGAAACTATTGTTATTAAATTATAATTGGAAGAATAATGCTGAAATTTGAAATGGAGAGCAGTACTCTGGAGTAAAGTCTTCCTGGGTTTTAACCTGAAAACACCAAATACCTCAGAGTTGCTTTTACTATGGGAGAACATCCTCATTTCTTATTTCCAATTCCAAAATCTGAAGTAAAAAGATACCTTTAACAAACTGAAAAAGCAGACAAAGTGTTGTACTCACAAATGTGGAATGCCACAATAATCCAGAAGAAAACCATTGGGGTGAAAAGAAAGGTCTAAATTAAATTAAAATGAACATCAATGAGCTGATGCAGCAGAGACACTTGGGCACAGGAAGTTTCTGACATATATATAGTCCAGGGACTGGAGAACCAAGCAGTTCATTGTATCTCACATCCCCTTCTTCCTCTTAAAGGAATAGTCTCTCAGAAATGCCAGCTTTGAGCAAATTACTTATCTGAGTTTTAATGTTTGCCTGTATAAGCCAAAATCCATGAAAATATATTATATGATCTGTAAGTTTCTTCATTTCCCTGGAACAGGAAATCATTTTTGTTACAAGCTTTTTTTTTCTGACAGATAAAGTGTCCTAAGATTTTCTCTAAAGAAAGAAGTACAATTAGCCTCCTAAATAATAAAATATATAGCAGAATGAGTTAAGGATTGGATGATGAGCCTAATTTAAAAACGTCTAGAAATGTTATACTGTTATTTGCACAGAGCAAAGTTGTATTGGTCATAAATAAATTGAAATTCCAGAAAAGATGTGACATTTAATCACATTATTCCTTGAATTTGTTGTGGTGAATGTTTCAAAATCAAGTCACTCTAACTTGGATTGCTTAAGATCTGGAGCTATTTTTACATTAGTCTTTGATGACTCATAAGTGGCAAAAATTGTTAAAAATCTTCATTGGATTCTTTACTTTACCACAGCTTTGTGAAGGAGACTCCAGACAACTCACAAAGATTTGTTGCGTTAATGTTACCCCATCATTTTTGTTGTAGAAAATACAGATTCCTAATATTACAAAATAGAAGTTAAGAACATTTTGAACTCTTTTAGGAACTCTTACTTTAGCATCCTGAAAGATGTCACTTTGTCTTTAAATGAAAGGATGATCCATGTCATTATGGGATGTCCTCATATAAAAAAAGAGTATATTTTCGGTGTTAGGAAAGGTACACTGTCTGATAGCTGTATCCTGTTCTCCTCTGACACGTCAGCCCTGACAAGCTCTAAAAGATTTTCTAAAGTTCTCACTGTATTAGTGGTAACAAATGAAGGTACTAATTTGTGAAGGACATAATAGAGAATTTTAGAGTGGAGAGCTGGTGTGAAAGCATACTACTAGTAACAATTCAGATGAAGTACCATTAAAATGCAGAAGCTTTATATCTTGGTATAGGCTGAGCAGATCCATCTTCTGTATTTATAGCTCAGGTAAAATATAGTGCCTTATTTACAAAAGCTATAGCTCTGTGGTTAAGGCACTTAGTTCAGGAAATAAGTGATATTAGGGCGTTACATATTCCTTGATCTTTATCACATCTGTACTAGTTTTTGATATAGTATGTCGAGATGTTAATAGAAGGCTTTATTAAATTTTATTCACATTAGAAGCATTCTCCGTTTTCAGAGGAATAATGTCATTATTGCACTTGGTCCTTTTGAAAGTTAAATTGTCTTTTTGTTTTTAGGGTTAGTGAAAGTAATCTTTCAGGATGTTTAATATTGTAACGCATACGGCCGACAGGCACTGTGTAAGAGCCGGCTTACCAGAGCAGTGACATCACCGCCCTTCCCTGTAATAGCAGGACCACAGCCACTGGGCTGTGGGGAGATCTCTCTTTAGCTCACCAAGCTGGGTCCCTGTTGAGTGATGCCAGAGTCCTGGGTTCAAGCCCCCGCTGGTACGGGGCTGACCTGATGTGGCAAGAGCACCTACCTGAACCCCGTAGCGTTACAATATGTTCACAGCATATCACATACCACAGAACTTTATTGAGTGTCCTTTAATGTTCACAGGGCTATTTGCAGCTAAAACTCGCAAGTGTTAATGTAGAAATTCACTTGCTTTGATTGTTTTAGATTAGATACACAACCACAGTAACAGTGGTTAAACCAGAAAACCAGGGCCATCTGCTTGGAGTTAGTATGTTCTCCCCATGTTAGCGTGGGTTTCCTCCCACAGTCCAAAAACTTGCTGGTTAGTTACCACTTCTGGGAAATAATAACAATTAATCATTGCTTACACTTATATAGCGCTTTTCTGGACACTCCACTCAAAGCGCTTTACTGGTAATGGGGATCCCCTCCACCACCACCAATGTGCAGCCTCACCTGGATGTTTCGACGGCAGCCATAGTGCGCCAGAATGCTCACCACACATCAGCTATCAGTGGGGAGGAGAGCAGAGTAATGAAGCCAATTCATAGATGGGGATTATTAGGAGACCATGATTGGTAAGGGCCAAGGGGAATTTTGGCCAGGACCACCAGGGTTACACCCTTACTCTTTTCAAGAAACACCCTGGGATTTTTAATGACCACAGAGAGTCAGAGTTTTACATCTCTTCTGACCGATGGTGTCTGTTTACAGTATAGTGTCCCGGTCACTGGTATTAGGACCCACGTGGACCACAGGGCGAGCGCCCCCTGTTGGCCCCACTAAAACCTCTTCCAGCAGCAACCTTAGTTTTTCCCAGGAGGTCTCCCATCCAGGTACTGAACAGGCTCATACCTGCTTAGCTTCAGTGGGCTGCCAGCTGTGAGTTGCAGAGTGATATGTGTGTGTGTCTCTGTTTGTGCACTGTGATGGACAGGTGTCCTGCCATCCCACTTGTGTCCAGCATTTTTTAGGATAGTCTCTGGCTCCCTGCAACCATGAATTGGGAAAGAGGTTATTGAAAGTGATGAAATGTGTGATGTACTGTATGCTGATTGACAAGCTTTATTTCCAGAGAAAAAATACTTTGCTCAAGTCATGTGATTTCATAAGAGCACCTTATTTTTATTCTTATTTGTAGCTCAGAAAACCACCAGGTTATTAGTGTTTGGGACGTGAAAGGTAAAAAGAGGTAAAAATCTGATAGTTAAAACAGAAAAGAATGAAAAATGGGAGCAGACATTTTGCTAGAAGAATGCACGAAGTTTAACTTTGTAGTTGAATCGGATGCAACAACTTCACACGCCTTTAAATATAGAACCCCTGTCACGCCACAAAGCATAAAATAGACTTCATTTCTTTTCAACTGTTTTAATTTACCTCTCCGCACAGTTACTTTATTTTCTCCAACTTGTCACGAGACCAGCAGCTGTACAAAGGCATATTTTACTATTCATGATCATACTGTAAATTGCACATAACCTTGTCAAAAATGGAAGTTCTTTTGGAACAGACAAACAATGTTTGACCCTGTGAGCAAAACAACAGGCCATTCTGTTATTATTTGCAATTTGGCTACTGATACAGAATTCCTTTTTGACAAACAGACTAGCAATATTCTGGTTAATTCTAGTTCTTACCATTTTTTCCGGTTCAGAGCTTTTCTGAGCAGATTTCAATTTATTTGGAAAGCTCACCAGTATTTTACCTAAGGAAAACTGTCCTGATGTGTGAAAGCCTGCCTTTCCAAAGAAAGACAAGTTTTGTGGGTATCGCAATGCTTTGAGGTTCTCGACAAGCTCTCTTAAATAAAATTCCATTCTTATTTGATCATTATTGTTATCACCTATAGTGTCCAAATTAATTCCTTGATTTTTCATAGGAAGTAGGCAAAGCAGCATCAATAAGGGACAAAATGAAAACACATCTGATGTTCATTTAGGGTTTGTATCCAGTTGAACTCTCAATTTTCATTTGCAATTGTGTCCTGCTACTGTATGGACTGGCATTCCACCCAGGGGGGTCCTGGCTTGTGTCTGATGCTTCCAGGTATCCTCGTCTGGAAAAAGTGCTGTTTTGAAATGTGATGATGTGACAAAACAGTCACTTATCATCATCGTAATCATTTCTTTCAGATTTCATAATCATCATTTAAATTTTCACTTTCTATATACTGTATATCTATCTTCAAGGAATAAAAATCAACATTTAAAAATTACAATCCTTGCCCTTTAAGACAAAAAAAAATAAGAGAAAGGTCTCTGTAAACCAGGTGGGACTGGTTAACAGCTCTTCCTGGATTGCTGTTTTCATGAACCCCAGTTCCCCCAGTTCTTCCAGCAAGGTGATGTCAGATCATCAGAATGAGGTGAGGTGACTCAGATGAGTCTTGTGTGAAAACATTTGAATGCTGTGAACCCAGCATGCAAATACATGAAGTAAACCTGTTTTTTGTTCTTTTCTTGAATCTACGTAATATGAAAAAAGAACCAGAGTCTGGCACACATCTGTCAGCCCATATAAAAGCCATAAATGCTCAAACAGACACTATCAAACACTGTTGAAAGACAAACAGTGGATCTCATCTCCGAACGCTGACAGGCCCCTGATTTCTCTCTGAAACCTTCGTTAAGATTCCAAACAAGGGCATCCTTGTGTAAGTATTTGCATACATTTTTATTTTCCTATACAGTATATGGAGTGTTGTTATTTGTATTGCAGCTTAGTATTTAAACGGAAGTTTGCAAAGACAAGTGCTGATAAATGCTATTTTAATGTTAGATCTGAATGTATTAGAACCTCTTATGTATTAATCACATTGCACATTTTTGCATTCATTACATTACATTAATATTCTTAACTGATAATGTTAAAGACCTGAAAATAAAATCACAGCATGTCTTAGCATTCATTAGGGAAACTGGAATATTTCTTTTATTAAATTCTGGGATACATGTTCTTGAGTCTAAAGCAAGTTGGGAAAATTTCAGATTCAAAACATTTGCTACAAGACATGGATTCTTGCACACACATCTTCATTATAATTACAATATAGTATGTGGAATCACACTAGGTGAAGTCACTCTGCAATGATATCATCTGGTAGCTTGCCAAGACATGAGTCACCAACTTCATGTAAACAAACTATTTCAGTTTCAGATAATGATGACCTAAGTCATTATGTTTTCATACTTAATCTGTTTTGTTTTAAGGGCTATTAATTCTCTTTTCTCATAATAATGTTATCCAGAAACATTTAGACAGAAGATAATTTTTTTTAATTGCCTTTAAATTTGAAGAAATTGCCATGCAAGATGACAAAGACTGCAATATCAGATTTTTTCAGCTTCTCGTGACACACTAATTCTTTTCATTGTGTGTCTACGTTTAAAAGTGTCTGATTCCCAAAGTCAAGAAGTGATACTTTTCTTTAGGAACTGTGGAAGTTTAGAACAAGAAACTGAATGTTTAATTTTGGAAGTGTGAAAAGTCTCAGAGAGAGAACTTGGAATTTTGTGAGACACACAAGGAGCACAACATGACCCAATTATTCAGCTACTGTTGGTCTTACACCTACTACTCCTCATTGCTGGTTGCCTGTTGTAGGTTACAAGATCCTGAGTGAATACTGTATCCTCTCACTGCAGAACAGTGCCTCCTACTGAGCAGGTGTGGAGCTACAGCCACAGGTTAATACTTATTAAACAGCTGGCACAATCCACAATAGAGGACTCTCAAACCGTTTCAGTCACCTTCTTTCCTATACGGTATAAGTGGAGTAAAACAGATGAGCCTAACAAGGTGGTAAAATAAACATCATGTAGAATTCTGTTGGAAAATAAAGTGATTTTGAATAGCAGTATTGGAAGAAGTGACAAAAAGTCAGTTGAGTGACCTAAAAATAAAATCAAAACCTATCAGAAACATCTACATTTAGCATTAAAGATCTGGGGGGAAAGTCTGGGATAGACATCAAATCTCCTGAGAAAACATTTCATATGTACAACATTTTATTAGTTTCTGAGTAATTCTAAATCAGCCTTTGGAAAAGCCACCCCTTGTCCAAAATGCAAATATACTGTAGTTTTTCATACCTTTATCATGCCAGCTAATGCCTGTCAGTTCAAAGCTAAATTCCATTTCATTTCTGTAATCCTGTTTTCCATCCTGCGTCAGTCAGGAATTAAGACAGGATTCTCCTTTGGCACTGGTTATATTCTTCAGATAGGGGGTAAGAATAATGACATTAAGACAATCGCTACTTTTCTTACAAAAAAATTAAGCAATTAAGAAATTGTTAACAGTTTTTTCTACTTAATTTTAGTTTTAAATTATTTAGAAAGTACCATATAATATTAGAATGTCAAGGTGGCACAGCCATTAACATTCTTGGGGTGCTATCTGTGAGGAGTTTGTATGTTCCCCACGTCTTAGTCTGGTTTTCTCCAGGTGCTCCAGATTCCTGCCACAGTCCAAAGAGATGCTGGCAGGGTAATTGGCTCCTGGGAAAATTGCCCTTGTGTGAGTGTGTGTTTGTGCCTGTGTGTCTGCTCTTTGCAATGGACTGGCAGTTTGTCCATGGTCTATCCTGCCTTACACCTGTTGCTTGTTGCAATAGGCTGTAGTTCCCACATGACCCACATGGTGAAAAAATGATATAGTAATGTCGTGTGAGGTAGGTGTGATACACTCAACAGAATGTTCTAACATTTTGTTTGTACATATGTATATGTTTTTTTTCTTTAGTATAATTAAAAACACACGGAACATGGTAAATATATTAGTAATAACGTATTAATTTCTCTTTTGTTTTCAACAGGGCAGAGAATTAGACGTTGGCTAAAATGGAGTCAGAAAGTGTAAGCATTGCCATTGTTCAACTTTTATACATGAAGGCATTATAAAGTGATTTCTTCCTTCTGCTAAATGCTTCTTTATCCGTTGTCTACTCATGACTTTCTTTATACATTTTTACTAGGGTGAATCTGAATTAAGTATTCTAATATTCAAATCAAAGTTATCGTTCAAATACTTAGTGTGATGCCCCTCTGGGAGTTTGTCTTTATGAAATCTACCAGGACAACATATACCAGCAAACAACTGTTAGCTTAAAAAAAACAGTGCTCTTCATTTATAGTGATGGAAAAATCAAAATACCACAACCAAAAACATCAAACTAAAGCCTAGCTCTTCTTTAAGCTAGCTGTTAACTAACTTGTTCAGTGCCTATTTACCACATCAGGCAGCTAAACTAAAAACTTTTAGACCAAAAGAAGAAATAAAAAGTAATCTCAGTGGCCCATGCAGAATTCGGTGGGAATAGAATCCCAGTTTGTCTCAGACCTTTTCAGTTTTGAAGGTGCCCAATGTGAGCTTTGGCAAAGTTTTCAAATTTAAGGAGCCAACAAGAATGGAATCCAGTCGTAGCAGTGTGATCAAAATTTTAATTTTTCCATATTTCCAAAAGAAAAACCAGGGTGGTCCTTGGGTCCAGTATGGCAGTGGTCAACCTTGTCTTTCAGGTTTAATGGGGCTCAGTGGGATGAATTCTGAAATGAAAATCTGAAGTTTTTTTTTACTTCTAGAGCCCACTAACTGGCCTCCTCCTGACCTCCATATTTTCCGCTGTGCTGGGCTCCCTGCAGATAGGATATCATACAGGAAACATCAATGCTCCTGAAAGGGTAAGCGAGAGAACTCCTTCACCTGGATCAGTAAGGTGATCTACAGTACACCAGCTCAATCTAAACCAAAGCTACTCTTGTGTTAAAGGACACACTCCCACCACCCTACCGACAGGCTTGACCACTGCAACAATTAGCAGAAACCACATTTCCTCCCGATACAAGGTCTTCCTTCAGGTCAGTCAATGGAAAAATAGCATCAGTGTGAATAACACTACAATGCTGTCACTTCTCAAGGCTGACAGAAGACAGCAATTCCACCTCATTGCTGTGGTCTTCTTACCACAGATTGGCCTACAAATATACAGATCATAGAAACCTCTATATGAGCCAAATAAATCAAGTGAGAACATTTCCAATGATGTTTGTTATACCACTTAACATTTATTGGAATACTCTGAGGAGAACACCTTCTAAAAGGATACAACAGTAATTTCACATTATGGATTTGAAGGATGATGGTGCAGTGGTGAGCATTGCTGCTTTGTAGCACTGGGGGCCTGGGTTCAATTCTGGACCTGGGGTGCTATCTGTGTGGAGATTGTATGTTCTCCTGACTTTATATGGATTTCCTCCAGGTGCTCAGGTTTCTTCCCACAGTTGAAAGATACACTGGTAGGTTAATCCTGGAAAAAACATATCCCTGGTGCTTGTGTGTATCAGACAGGGTGTATCCTGCTCCCCCACCGCCTTACTGGATAAGCAGGTTATACATTGGATGGATGGATGGATGGATATGAACTCATGAGCCTGGCAAACTACCACTCACTACAGTTTTTCCCTGCAGATGCACACAATGTTATTTTTTCCTGGACCTTCTTTTTATGTAGTCATTACAGTCTGAAAGTATCATGCAAATTGGTATGACAGAAGTGAGAGTCCTGGGCTGGTGTAGCGACTCTCTACGTTACTTTCAGAATGTGACCTGTCCCTCATGTAGCAGGTATCCTGCTTCATTTGAACTAGTCTGCTGATTGACAAAAACTTGTCTTAGTGTTACACATTTTAGGTTTTGGGTAAAAAATATACAAAAACATGGCTCGACCTAGGGGTATTCACAGATGTTTTCTTGAAACTGTATGCCTTTCTTTTTATTAAGTGTAAAACTAATAATCTGCCCCTTACTGTCTGTTTTTTTCCTGTCAGGTCATTATAAAGGTCTTTAACTCCTCCTGGCAATCTCATTACAACACGTCAATCTCAGAGACGAGACTCGCGTTTCTCTGGTCCCTCTCAGTCAGCGGAAAGGATTTTGGGGCTGTTCTGGGGGCAGTCGGGGTCAAGTGGCTGGCCGACTCCTTTGGCCGGTGAGGAACCCATCGAAATGGTAAAACGGGGGACATTTGTTTGTTTCCTGAGGTATCACTGTGCAGTTCACAAGCTGCTGAAGTACTGCACACTATTCTAGCTCATCAGTTCACACTCTGTCTGCAGGAGGAACTCCATTCTGATCGCCAACGCCTTGTCCATAGCAGCCTCCCTGCTGATGAGCATTGCCCAGTTCTGCATGTGGTTTGAAGCGCTCATCTTGGGCCGGTTGATTTTTGGGATGTTTTGTGGCCTGGCCATGAGTCTGAACCCGCTCTACATCCAAGAAATCTCCCCTACAGCTCTCCGCGGCGCATTCTCCACCCTCAACCAAATCTCCTTCACGACAGGAATTCTCCTGGGAATGGTGAGTGCAGAGGGCACAGGGGAATCTTTGCTTTCTCAGCTTGGATGTTTTACTTTCTCTCTTGAAGGTCATCAGGGCTGCCTGTGAAAGTAAATGAGATCGTCTTTGTTTTTCTTGTTTGTTTCTTTTTCAAGATACTGCGCTAGTAACTTGCTTGTTTCAAGCTAAAACAAGCTAAACAAAAACCTAGCTCATTCTTCAAGAACTTAATTAACATACTGCTAAGGCTGCTAAGCTGCCTAGTGTCTCTCTCTGATGCTCTTCACAAAGTTAACTCAGTCTCTCTCTCTGAGATTCTTCACGATGCTTACAGCTCCACCAATTGGTTATTCCTTCTCCCTTTGGTGAAAGTGCACACAGAGTTCTTGTCAGATCAGACCAACCAGGGTAGTCTCTGATGTCTGGTTTTTAAACTGTCACCCGAACAATCGTCATCCAGCAAGTGGTCAGGTGACTAAGCAGCTTGCTTCCCCCACTCCCCCCACCCAAAAGCTTTCTGGGAAATGTAGTCCAGATAAGAGCTGCCATCTTGTCTTAATCTACTGTTTCATCTATCCATTTTCTAACTTCTTCATCCAATTCAGTGTTGCAAGGAAACCAAAGTCCATCCCAGCAAGCAATGGGTACAAGGCGGGTTACACCCTGGATAGGACACCATTACAGGGCAGATACAGTCACACTTATACCAGGGATACATTTTCTCTGAAGCATACCATTAACCTGCCTACAATTAATCTCCCTGCATGTCTTTGGACATTAGAAGGAAACAGGGACATCTGGAGGAAATCCATACAAACAGAGGGAAGAACCCAGGCCCCAGTGCTGTGAGGCAATGCTAACCACAACATCACCGGGTTTCCCTCATGTTTGAATGATGCATTTATAAATAACACGTGAATGAAACAAATGTCCTCACCAAATATCCTCCCCACACAAATAGTGTTATAGGTGCCAAATATACTATTTACTGTGTGTCGCAGCCATTCATGAAAGCAGGTGGAAAACAAAAAAAGATGGACCTTTGTGCTTGTGACATTTATTGTTTTTATGAGAAACAGAGGTGGTAATCTTTTCATTTTACCATCGTTAACACACAGCGCCATCTAGTGATACACCCCAGTTACTTCTCTACCCTCCAAATACATGGTTTCGTCTTGTTGCTCTTTTTATAGAGGGGAGCTGAATGAGTGATTTTCAAGCCAATGGGTATTACCCATCTTGTCTCACCTTGAGAAACTGTTGGGAGAGTTCTGCTATGGCCTATGGAAAATAGTTCTTGTTTCTTCAAGTGCAATGAATAAGAATGAGACAGAGCAGAGATGTGTAGCTCTTTTGCCTTCTCTGTGATAATGCTGTTGTGGTCATGAGCTGTCAGCAATTTCCATGCTGTTCCCACATAGTGACAACATGTAAATTATGCCTTTACTCTCTAAATGACACCTTTTACTTAGTGTGTATAGGTGAAGCTCATTTTTGCATGTTGTGTGGATTCTCCTTGTTATTTGTAATAATGCAAATTGGCCAGGTCCCAGTACATGGGCCCCTTTGAGGTGTGGCAGATTCTAAAAAGGATCACAGGCACTAATGACTATTAGTTTGGATTGAGTCACACTTGCTGTTAATTGGTTAATGGGTTCCAGTTGCACACACAAACAGCACTTGGACGGGACTGGTTTGCAGCGGGGTCTCTGTGCTTGGGCTGCAGGTGATGAGCCTGAATGTAGTGATGGGATCGGAGAGCTTGTGGGGGCTGATGCTGCAGCTCTCCCTGGTCCCTGCCGCCATGCAGTACTTCACCCTGGCCTTCTGTCCGGAAAGCCCACGGTACCTCCTCATCAACCTGGGAGAGGAGGTGGAGGCAGAGACAGGTAGGGCTGTGTCAATGTACAGATGGAACACAGGTGCCTTTAATGTGATGGTGCCTCCTGGAACCCAGATCCTGGGTTCGATTCTGCCTTTGGGAACCCATCTGGTTGGAGTGTGCATGTTCTCCTTGTGTCCAAGTGGATTTTCTCCAGACAACCTGTTTGCTTATCCCCTTACAGAATAACAGATTTGATTGATTGCTTTAAACTGGACTCAAAGGGTTGAATCCCTGGTCCCCTAGAGGAAGGGAGAGAGGTACTCTACCTCATTTGCCTATCCACTCAAAAGTACCACTCGCTCCTCTCTGCCCAATGCTCACAGCTGCACTGGGATAGCACACATACAAACTGGTTTGGCTTTTTCCCCTTATTGCACAGCCGTTTTCTTACAGCTTTATCCAATTGCGGGGGGGTGGAGCCTATCCTGGAAAGGAATGGGCGCAAGGCAGCGTACATCCTGGATGGGATGCTAGTCCATTGCAAGGGATACAAAGACATACACACACTCAACAAGAGCCAATGTTTCCCAGAAGTCAAATAACCTACATGTACAGTATGTCTTTGGATTGTGGGAGGAAACCATAGCACTTGGAGGATACCCAAGCAAACATAGGGAGAACATCCAAACTCCATGCAGACAGCACCCCAGGAACTGAACTCAGGGTGTAGTGGGAATGCTAACCACTGTGCTACCCTATATGATATGCTGTGATCTGTTCTGATATGATATGTGCGATGACTTTGCTTTTAGCTCTGCGCAGGTTACGAGGGAACTCTGGTGACATCCGCGCTGAGATGATGGAGATGAAGCAGGAGTCCTCCTTCAGCCCAAAGTGCATCACGGTCAGAGAGTTTGTTCAGAAGCAGAGCTACCGGGAGCCCATCATGATCCTGACTGTCATCTGCCTCGGAGCGAATTTCTCTGGCTTCAACGCGGTGAGTCTTCTCTGCCCGCGCCAAGACATTTTCCCCAAAGGGCTTCATTCAATCCTTCTCTTTTTGTCCTGGCTCTGGTCTCACCTGCTTAAAAAAATTCCCACCCTTTTCTGTTCTGAAGTGTATTACAAAACCCTGGCTAACAATGACTACTTAATGCAAGAAATAGGCGTGATTCTAAACAAAACATATCAGGTGTGCCAGAGGAAAAATGCTAAGGTGGTACTGTATAAAGGATAAAAATACCTCTTTATTTACATATACCAATCAATGTTTCTTTTGTACTTTTTGAGATGGTAAAAAGTTATCATTACTTCTCATTACCTAATAATACCCTGGTCTTCTTGGTCAATCAACTGAGTAAACCCAGTTACCAAAAGTAGAAAAGACTCCTATGATCCTTAAACATAGCAAACAATTTTCAATTGATTTCATGTACAACACAGTGGAGCAGTCACTCAGAAAGTCATGCAAAATCACTTTTATCACTCATTCTAACACTTTAGGAAAAATTGTCTGGATTAGCACACAGTATTTTATATCTGTTAACACATATAATAATCCCCCTGCCTCCTCTCTCTTCTCTGCCTCCTACCTTTTCCTTTTTTAATGAGGGTAGTCGGAGGCTGCATTGTTCGAGTCCAGCTATTTCCTAACTTAATTCATATCAGAGCTGGAGGTTGGGGATAGATAGTGTTTTAAACCAGCAGGCAACATGCTACCAAAATGGAATTCTGCAGCTGAAACAGATTACATTTTATTCCTTAACTATCACATTTCTGTTTTTTCAGATGATCAATTACTCAACGGATGTATTTTTAAGGGTGGGGTTTGAAGAGGCTGAGTATCTGACTCTCGGGGTTGGATCTGTCAATGTGCTTTTCTCTATTGTTTCGGTGAGTTCAAGACTGTGCTATAGCATAGTGTTCTATTATAATAATAATACGGTACAGTTATAGTACATATATTTACATTGTATGGCCTATATATTGTTTCAGATACTATTATTTTTCTAGAGAATTTACTCATAGGGGTGGCACAGTGGTTGCCATTGCTGCTTTGCAGTGCTGGGGTCCTGGGTTCAATTCTAGACTGGGGGTGCTGTCTGCATGTAGTTGTATGTTCTTCCTGAAGGTATACAGGTAGGTTAATTAGTGTATGGGCAAGTCAAGTGACTATGCATGTGTCTATGACTTTATGAGCCCTGCAATGGACTGGTGTACTGTCCAGGGTGTATCCTACCTTGCACCTGTGACTCTGAGTTAGAAGATTGATGGATGTTATTATACTATTTATAGTATATACCTTACTCTTTGGGAACAACGACTCACACAGCTTGATCTCATACAATGATACAAAATCATATTTGCCAAGACGGCGTCAAACAGCTGAAAAATGTTTTTGTTCAGTTATTGTTTTTTCAACCCATCAGATGAACAAAGAGCATTCATGGGTGTTAACCCAGGTGTCCCGGCTGAATTCCTCCCTGGGCCCGGACAACCTGTCCTCCTAGAGTTCCCCCTTTGCTCACACAGCACAGAACAGCCCGTGCTACCCAAGTGGGGCTGCACCATGTTGTGGATGAAGTGAGCTCCATCTTGTCTGTGCCATGAGATCCATTGACCCCCTCCTGTGTTTGTATTTCCTAGTTTTTCTTGGTGGAGACAGCGGGGCGCAGAAAGCTCTTACTTGTGGGGTTCCTGGCTTTAGGAGTGTGTAACCTCCTGATGAGCATCTCAAGTGCTCTTCTGGTGAGTCTTGCATGTTCTTCAGTTAAATCATGGAGAATTTTAATGTACCACACTCCCGTATTGACTTGAGGACTCCAGACCTTAGGTCCTGCAGGGGTCTGTGCTCTTTGTCTTCAATGTGTCTAGCTGACGTGCTGAGGTTGTTTTCTATTAGATGAGATGAGGATGTGGCTCACGTGGATGAACCAAGCCTGTTTTCCAGTCTTTGTTCCTGGGGTGGAAGGGGGAAACCCCCGAAATATTTTACGATGGGAGGGGTTTCCAACCTTCTGAAAGGAGCACTGACCTCATGGGAAGACATTTTCCCATTTTCATGAATCAACACTGAGCGGTGTCTCTTGAATTTTGAAGGGTTCTTACATGCATCAGGGGAGGGGATCAATGACACTCCAGGGGTGATCCTGAAGGCTTTAGTCCACCAGCAGACTTGTCCTGCAATCAGTTCATCATTCATGATTTTATATGGTTTCATTCCTGTATAACATAAGCGGCACAGTGGCGCAGTGATTAGTAAAGTATTGCTACCTTACAGCGCTGGGGCTCTGGATTCATTTCCTGGGGTACTATCTGTGTGGAGTTTTTATGTTCTCTGTGTTTTGTGTGGGTTCCTCCATGTGCTTTAGTTTTGTCCCACAGTCCAAAAGCATACTGGTAGGTTAATGAGCTTCTGGGAAGATTAACCCTGGTGTGAGTGTGTGCATGTCTGTGTCTGTGTGTGTCCTGTGATGGACTGGTGTCCTGTGCAGGATGTATCTGGCCTTGTCCCTGTTGCTTTTTGGGATAGGCTCCAGCTCCCCCCACCCTGAATTGAGAATGAATGGATGACTGGATGGATGAACTATGTAAAACAGAAATCCCAGCAGCAGAGATGCATGAAATTCACACAAGAAATGGGACTGACAATTAACAGCTGTCCCTGCTTCTCCTAGAACATTTTTCCTCAGATGGCCCACCTGCATGCTCTCCTGGTGTTTGGTCTAATCGCAGCATATGAATCTGGACCCGGTCCAATCAGTTGGTTCATCGGCGCCGAATTGTTCAACCAGTCAGCACGACCTGTGGCCATGTCTTTCAGCAGCATTCTTAACTGGGGCTCCAAGTGTCTTTTGGCTTTCATATTTCCACCCCTAATGGTAAACACCTTTTAATTTATCCTCTGCTGCCTTTACCTGGGCCATTTATTTGCGTTTTAAAAGATAATGGGATGGCTCTGCCTAAGTTACTGATCCTAAATGTATAGGTATAAGAATATAACCCCAGAAAAGTCAGAGACGAAAGAAGACCCCCTGGTCAGCTCTGGTTGATAGCACCTTAGAGATACTTTAAACTAAGTTTTTTTTGTAAATGAGAAGATCCTGCAGAATCAGTTTTTCTTGTGTAGCTCAGTCCTTTGTGCTGTCAACACTCATGCTATCAGAAAGGTTAGAAATGAGAGGAAGCTACAGTATTTGGCCCATCTTGTTGCTTTTAATTTCCACAATGTAATAATTTAATCATAGTGCTTAGTTTAGTCCTTCCACTCCAACTTCACCCTTGCAGCTGCCTCCGTAGTTTATTCCTCTTATGTGAGGGGGGCTGTGGCAAAGTTTATCTTTAGCCAGCACTAAATTACATTGTGGAAATTAAGAGCAACAGGATAGTTTACAAAAGACAGTAAACCTTTTTTCTTTCTTACTAGTATTTATTAAACAAAGATGACATCAAAGTATTAACCATGCAACCACTTTGTATCTGTCAGCACATTTTGTAGTTATTAGAATTTGACTAAACCTTTTGAAATTGCATGATATGTACATAAATGTGAGCAGACATACAGAGAATCAAAAAGTAGTAGACTTAGATAAAAAGGAAAAGTAATTTTGGCTTCCTATGTACAAAGCTGAAAGACAAAGACAGCTGACATATCAGTTCTCTGTAAATTTCATTACTAACTCTAAATTAGGATTTCTCAGAAACAGGACACTGGCTAAACTGATCACTGCTGACACTGCCTTTTCACATTCTGTGGTGTCTAGAGCATGTTTCTGCAAGCCCAAAATGTTGACATGGCAAAGCACTTGAAAGAGTCAGCATATGGGAGGAGTGAGTTACAGAACCAGGCTCTCACTGGCCCAGACATCTGCAATAAGATGATAGGAGCTCAACCTGCTGTTTCAGTGGATTTCAGCAGGTGATTCTGTGCTCTGGTCTCTTCAGGGCATAGCTGGGCCTTACACCTACTTGGTCTTCATGGTCTTTGCTCTCATCGCCTTCTTCTTCACACTTGCTCGGGTCCCAGAGACTAGAGGAAGAGTCTTCAACGACATCGCAGCTGAATTCCAACAGACGGACAGCCTTCTGCTAACACCCAAGAAGCTGAAGAGCAGCCACCACTGAGGAGCTAGCAGGAAAGACAGAAAAACAGATGCTGACGTTGTCTTTGCTCAGATTACCCACAGTGCAGTTGGATAACCATGGTGCTTTAGTTTTGCGTCCTTGAAAAGAGATTATTTGATTTCAGAACGCAGTACATGAGCTGGAATCCTAAATATTGTTAAACTAAAAATGCTGCTAATCATTATGAAATAAGTATTAGTATAAGCCTACTCATTGTGGTCTGGTGGCACAGTGGTTAGCATGGATGCCTTGCAGTGCTAGTGCCCCAGGTTTGATTCTGGACCTGGGGTGTTATCTGTGTGGAGTTTATATATTATAGAATAATATATTATTACACAGGAGGCACAGCGATTAGCATTGCTGACTCGCGGCACTGGGGCTTTGGGTTCAATTCAATACGCAAGGTGCTATCTGCATGGAGTTTGTATGTTTCTTCCCATGTTCCCATGTTCTTCCCATGTTCATGAGGGTTACCCCCAGTAAAGACATACTGGTCTGTGTCTGCCATGTGATGGACTCACGTCCCGTCCGGGGTGTACCCTTCCTTGTGCCCATTGCTTGCTGGGAAATTGGGTGAAACAGTTAGAAAAATGGATGGATGTTGCTATTTGTTGTACAGCTTAAAAGTTTTTACTGTGGACTTTGAAGGCTGGGAAAGCTTCAGACATGATGTGAAGAAAATTCATCAAAATAGATCTGGGAACAAGAAACCTTTTATAGAAAATTATGCTACCTTTTCCTAAGGGAACAAGGGCAAAAGACTCTGCTGATGTACAGTATGATTTGTTGGTAATAAGTAACAATTCCATTTTGTTTAGTTTTGAGTGATAGTAAATCTTGGATCTGGTCCTTACTTCCTTCTTTATTTTAATTTCTTCAGGAAAGAGGTGTATAAAATCCATCAATGTAGACGTGATATCCACCCACACCATGATGTTTCTATCTGAGCCACAAGGCTTATTATCAACTATATGCACACATCGACGATTACAGATTCCAAACAAGGCTTGTGTACCTGTTGGTGTGCCTGCAGAGTGCTGGCAGTGCGTAGGTGCCACCCTTACATGGGCCTTGGTGTGGTGGCTGAGGCTGTCCAGCTGGTTGTAATGGCACCCGCCTTCAGGGCGACGAAGGGGTGTCTTCCCACCATGCATCTCCTGGGGCTCCTTGATGTTGCCAGGTGGCTGGAGCTCTTGGTGCAGTGGGCGCAGCTGTGGGCGCACGTCTCTGCTGTGTGTTCTCAAGCAGACCATCATGCTGCAGGGGAGCAAGAATTTCCTGCTGCCCGCTGTGCCCATACTGTTGCTTCTTGAAGGGGCCCAGGTGGGGGAAAGTCTCCCCACACAAGGGGCATCGATGGGGCACCAGATGGGAGGCAAACGCATCAAAGAGCGATCAGTGTGGTGGTAGACTATGGCCATATATGCAAGAATCAAGGAAAGATGAGCAACAGTATGGGTTTGTTTTTTTGTGCAAATTATACTGAACAGTGTAAATTTTATAGCAGTGTAAATTTTATATCTGTGCAATAAAATTAAAGTTAGATTACAGCCCCTTTACTGATGAATCTTAAACTTGCCAGGATCTGCAATCTCTTCCTGCAGGATGAGCACACTTCCAAGGTGCTGCAGCTGATGAGGTTAGTTATTCTCTCCAAGAGAACAGTGGAGAGTTACTGAGACTGAGCAGGGAGCACAGTGACAGACTCAAACAGTACTGCGCAATCAATCACTGACACAGAGCAGAGAGTACAGTGACTCAGAGTCACCCACCGTGGCTTTTGTTCCTGTGAGCACTGTTGACATATAGCCAGTCCACTTCCAGTCCAAAGCCCCAGAACGGAGACTGGCGGCACTGTACTGTAGGGTGCATCTTTCTTCATACAAGACATGAAGCTGAGGTCCTGACTGTTTGGTCATTATAGATTTCAGGGCACTGCTGGTATGATGATTCCACTCTGGATCGGCATCATCAGGGCTTCCTGAAGTCCCTCCTGAACTCAGCTGGCTCAGAAGTGTCTCTCTAATCCCCCTGATCTGTGTGCAGGGGGGCTGCAGTGTGTCGCCCAGGTGGGGGAAGCACTGAAGAGGGGGGTGAGATGTGTGTTCCCTCCCGCACCACTCTTTATCTTCACTGTCAAAGGTACACTAGACCTTGCCAGAAACATAAAAGTGAGCTAATGATGAGGTCAGGCTAGGCTTTACCTTTTTTCTGACCCAGGTGCTTGACTTTTATTGATGTGAAGATGTCAGACAAGATTTTGTGGCATTGTGGGATTGCCATTGTCACAACACATTATTTGGAGTAGAGGCAAAGAGCACTTTTGGGGGCTGTCTTACCCTTAGAATGAGCACAGCAGCTCATTTCCTAAAGTTATGTGATCTTGTTGGGGAAGATTTGCTGCCAGTCTGTTTTACGAGATGCTTAGACATCTGGGGGAAGGGGGAGGTGAGCAGGCGTTGTGTTTTTGGGGACCCTTGCCCAGTAACATCACAGTTTTAGTCAGTCATTTAACTACCCCCTTCCCCCACATCCCTGTGCATGTGGCACTACTGTCTTGAAGCCCCTGGAGAAGATGAGAAGCCCGTTGGACCTGCTACTGCAGAATCCCCGGACCCAGAGAACCGGTGAAAGTCATGATGATGAGACAGAAGCTTCATCAGGGGTTCAGCTTTATTACAGAGGATCAGGCACTTTTAAGAAAAATGAGAAAGCACTGGGAAGATTGAGGATACGGGCAGACTGGGTGGAGGAAGGATGGCTGAGACAAAATGCTAAGGCAGGTGTTTGTGTTCAATATAAAATTAATTTCTGTATTGATTATGGCTAGGAACAAAAATTGTTGACTTGCCGTTGTTATCCTTCCCAGAACTTCAGTTAATTACTTCCCTGTGAAACTCTATAGTAAGATCTGGGTCTTTATTATTCCACTCAGGTTTTAAAGCAAAGGTTAGTAACCGCAATGGAACATCAGAGATAGTTATTAAGAAACCATTTGCATATCTAACTCTTTGCACAAGATCACGCATCAATGAAGTGCTTTTCAACCTCCCAGCTGTTTGTAGATTATTGCAGCTGCAATGTCTGCATATTTTCATTAGGACACTTCAAACCGTACATTGGTCATTTGTTAAAAGAAGTTGGACTTCTTCTATAGTAATGGGGAGCAAGAAGATTTCAGTTTGATTCAAGATTTGCATACTTGTATTATTTACAGTGCTGGATGAGTCTTTAAGTGTAGTTCTCCAGGGAATACTAAGCATAGAAGCAAGATAAAGATTCACACAACAGCAGCATTGCTTCAGTAAAAGTTATGGTAAGAAAACAGTACATTTAGTTTGTTGGATGTGATTTTTATTAAAGGAGAGTTACACTTCGTCATTCACTACCAAATGAGTTACTTGATGAATATGAGAAACATGACAGACAAGAAAATTGCACAAGATAATTGTTATCCTGATCTTTTACTTATTATATTTAAGTTTTAAATCTGTATCTGTGGTGTAGCATACTTAGAAGAATTAATTAATACTTTGGGATTTCTCCTACTGTACTTATTTTTTTCTTCAGGAACAGTTTTTTAGTTATTTTACTACCACTACACTCTTGTGGTATACACTACAGCTTGTATACCACAGCTTTAATAATGTGCCAAGTACATGAGTGTACAGTATGTCAAGAGAAAATTGATATGGGCTAATATTTCATAAATCTTTGAACGAGATTCAGGTTTAATCAAGACAGCCAATGATTTCTTTCTTGTACTGTTAAAAAGTGGTTCAGGAGTTAAATTTTGTAACTGATATTGAAAGAACTCTTTATCAAATACAGCAGTGTGACCTCTTACAAATTTATGGAACGCAATCTCTGTAAAACAGCTGGAAATCTTTATCAACATCCATCTTGTTTTTCAGGAAGGTTTCTAGCCTTTTTATGGGCAGTTCTACCACATGATTATTCACCCTGTCGTTGAGGCCATAGGCAGCAAAGGAGGGGAATTTATACCTCACATAGAAGGGGGCGTTTCTGTCGTAGTCGGTACAGCAGTAGGCTGTCCACATGTACTCTGGGATGGCTACTCTGTCGATGTTATCTCGCCGAATCATGTTCCCCGAGGTGGTTACCCCGGTGATGACATACGCTTGGCCCCTGCAGTAGTTGTTGAGTCGCCGACGGATTCTGTCCTCATGCTGGAACCACGGCCCGATGTTGAACTCTCTCACCTGCGGCACGACGTTCGTGAGGGTGTAGGTGGCGGCTTTGTCGTTGGGCTCTGACTGGTGCTGGTTGGGGTTGAGGTGGCCTCTCTCGTACAGCACCACGTCAGCATAGTCTTGCAGCACGGCCTGCGTGTCCTCGAAGTTTTGGTGCATGTTGCTGCGCGGGAAAGGCTCCATGTTCCCACTCCCCTTTGATGTTGCCAACTGAAAGAGAATAAAAGCAGTTCGGTGACACTTCTTGTGGGGGAGGGGCTTGTTTTGGAAGATGGAACAAGGGAGAAAGTTTCCTCTCTAATGGGGTGTGAAGACAATACCACATACAGTATGTCCAAAAACTAATTTTGTAAAACCCTATCAGAAAATAATATTAATTTCCACATGGGTTAATTGGTAAAAGAGTAACAGAGATATTTTTAATTATAAATGCATAAGAAGATTGGTTAATCAAAAGCAGTTTGTGATGTTCGCCCCTGCTGGAGCGCCACAGAATGAGCTAGCATGAACACGGCAGTTGGTGGAGTCTCCATGTTTACGTGCTCTGACAGATCAGACAGGAAGCCTGTTCCACCTGTGCCCCAATTATGACCATACCCGTCTCAGGTGGTGCAGGCTATTTAAGATCAGCCTGCGCTTTATTTGGGATTCTGCTATAGAGTTTTGCCCTGAGTGTCAGCTGAGTTCCAAGGCTTTGCTTTACTCTTTGGATTCTTGTCCTAGCTCTGTCTTTGCCTTGCCTTTAGGTTTTCTCTGTGCTTGTTTTACCATTTAATGCTAATGAATTTGCATGCTTGTTTCAACCTTTTCTTAGGATTTTCCCTGTGCTTTGCTACAGTGTTGATCTGGACTGGAACTTTACTGCACTGAACCCTGACTCTGCACTGTTTGCCTGTGTTTCCCTCACCTGTTATTGGGTTCGACTAATGAACTCAGACCTCTGCTTCACTCCAGCACATGTAGTGATATTACAAGTAAAACAAACAGACACTGTCATAGCTTGTTATTTAAACAACTCAACTATTATAATGGATTATTTTTCAGCAATGAGTGGATAAGATTATATTGGGGCTGCTAACAGCATTCTAAGACTGGTCTACTAAAGGCAGCTGCTGGAAAAAATAAGAGAAATGGATAAATAGTCGTACCTGAGGCTCATACATCCAGGGGTAATCCACGCGCTTCTCCCCATCCGATTTCTTGAAGGTGTAGGCGGAGTACACAGGGATGTGCTTAGCAGGATCGTACAGGGTCACGTAGCGGGGCTCGCTGGCATATCGCTGGCATATCTTCTTCAATTGGTCTCCCAGAATCCCCAAAGGTGGTGTGCCCTTGTATAAGAAGTGCTTGCATTCCCTGAAGTTCTCGACCACACTAGCTCGTGCTACTAGTGCATTGTACAACACCAGCAGCAGGAACGCGCCCGTGATTTTCATGGTGAGCGAACTCCAGGCGTCTCTTTTCTTATGGACAGGGCAACCAAGAGAATGAAGCTAATTAAAGAGTGAGTCAGTGTTCCAGGGGCTGATATTAAATATTTACTTCCTGCTATGTAAAGTAACTGGCCCACCTTTTTTCCTGATTGGCTGTCCACTGTACCAATCATATTCTGCATGCAGAGGCCAGCTTCTCAAATGTTTCCATGGGATGAACCCATCTCTCCTTTCTTGCAGTTAGTGCTTTGTCTTTAGAGGGTTGTGACAAGCCACAGATTAACATAGCAGGCAAGCAGAACACGTTTCAAACTCCAAAGATAGGACAGCAGACCATTGCAGGGCATATACTGTACACCCCCGCATTCACTCGAAGAAAATTTCGACTACACAGAAAAGCCAGTTAACCTGGACAGGATGTCTTTGGACTTTGGGAGGAACCTGAAAACCACAGAAACACACACACACACACACACACACACACACACACACACACACACACGTGAGAACAATGTGCAAAGTCCACAAAGGCAAAGCAAGATTCAAGCTCAGGGCCTTGGAGCTGTGAAGGGACACCACTGTGCTCCCTTTAAGGTTACAAGAATTTACTCCCCAAGCTCCTTTGCGCACAGCACAGTGGAATCTGCTAATTCCACCTAATATCAATGACATCCTTTTACAATAATTGCATGGAAGGAAAGGCAAAGTGATTTACTCATGAAAAGATAGCAAAATTTCAAATACAACACATGGACTTTATTTGTTATCTGCCAAAACCCATGTTTAAGAAAAAGACAAACAGCTAGCCCAAATGAAATTAATGTTTTAATGCTCTGCAGACAGTAGACAGGAGTTTAAAAGAAAAATAATGTAATTGCATGAAGTATACTGTATTTATAATATATTCTGTTCCATTGCATTGCCAGTTAAAGTACTCACTTCTAACCTTTCCTGAATTCTCATGTATGACATTTACTATTACTAAAATAATGAATAAGTTCCTTATGTTGTACCTGTGGAAAAAAATGCATTGTTTTTGCTGTATCCCTATTTATAAAATCGCAAAGCTGCTACTGTCTAGCAGAACTATACAGTACTTGTACCTACAAGGAAGAGGTGACATTTAAGAAAAGAAGCTTACTTGTTTTTAATTAACAACCATTTGTGTTCGGTCTAAAAATCATATTGCATCAGGTGAATTGTAGACATACAAAAATCAATTGTATTTTCCAGTAACTCAATTGACCCTTTTTTCTGTAGGAAAATCTTACTGTTTTACATTGGCCTTTAATTACCTTTCAGTACAATTGCAGAAACTGCACTTTATATGATATCTATGAAAATGTGGGTGGAATTTGAGTACCACAGTAAAAAGGCTTTTGTACTGAATGAAAATGTGACCTGACCTCTTTATCTTGGTATCTAGGAGTTTGCATGCTATCATAGAAAATGTGACTTTCTAGGTTTGTACTGTACTGTCCAGTGTGTGTATTAACCCCTCTCTCAGTGCAGTGTTAATGGACTATAGTGTCCAGTGTGTCTGTATTAACCCCTCTCTCTCAGGGCAGTGTTAATAAACTATAGTGTCCAGTGTGTCTGTATTAACCCCTCTCTCTCAGGGCAGTGTTAATGGACTGTAGTGTCCAGTCAGTGTGTCTGTATTAACCCCTCTCTCTCAGTGCAGTGTTAATGGACTATAGTGTCCAGTGTGTCTGTATTAACCCCTCTCTCTCAGGGCAGTGTTAATGGACTGTAATGTCCAGTTGGTGTGTCTGTATTAACCCCTCTCTCTCAGTGCAGTGTTAATAAACT